CGCGGGAAATAAGGAGGAGGATGCTTGCATGCGCGGTGCCGACTGCGAGGGAAAAAGGCACTGAAACAGTTACAGTTTGCCTATATCCTACACCAATTCAAAAATTGAAATCACCATATCCGCGCTCGAAAGTCAACGCGGGAAAAGAAAGTCCTATGCCTATCCGTATTCTCGCAAAATTCCTAGAATTTTCTCCGACGTGACCAAGAACATTCATGCAAGGAAAAGGATACGTCGGGCTCCGCTTATTCCGTAATTCATAACTGTCGAGCCCGATTCTCAGCGCATTCGCTAACGCGCGCGTAATTTCCCATGTATTTCCCGAATTGCAAAAACAGAATTCCAAGGATTGAAAAGAGCTTCCGACAAAATGGGGGCCGCAAACGAGGCGCCCGAAATCAAGAAAAGAAACGGGTTTTTTGTGGGGTTGGCATGATACAAGGAAAAATTCTGAGCCAGAGGGATACGAAAGATAGCACGGGGTTGGGAAATAGTTCGTCACATCTGCCAGCCTGATAGCTAGTGTCTTGGCTAGCAATTTGTACACTGTGTTTAGCAATGATATAGGACGCCAATTTCGGATGTTACTTTTGTCGCCTTTTTTAAACAACAGTGCAATAATGCCTTTTGTCATGCAGGAGGGGAGTCCTTTTCCCGTCAGGACATCATTATATACATGGACTAGATCTTCACAAAACATGTCCCAGAAACACAGAAAAAACTCAATGGGTAATCCATCTTCCCCTGGCGCCTTCCCTTTCGCCATTTGCCCAGCCACGTGAGTTAGTTCCTCTTTAGTGATAGGCTTTTCTAACGCTGTCATTCCTTCTGCCGATATCTTGGCAGTGGTAGAGACCCAGAAGGAAGATGCTTCTTTCAGATCTGCATCTGCCTCCTCGGGAGGCCTTCGTGAAGTAAGGATATCCCTAAAGTAGGTTATAGCGTACTCACACATTCCTGCTGTTTCCGACGTCTTTCGTAGGTTCTGATCAAAAGGATGACCAAGTTCTTTCATGATGCGATGCTGGGAGGTTTTGCGGTTCACCAAGGCGAGGGTTTCCTTGGACATTGAGTCCAATTTCTCCATCCCTTTTACCTTACAAAGTTCCTGCCATCTCTTTTGTTTGGTCATTTGAATGTCTTCCCATTTGAGCATCCAGCGGACTCGTTCCATCGACCAGAAAGCATCAGATACCGGATGTTCCCCCATGGCTGCTTCAGCTTCTTGTATTTTCCATTTGCAGATTCATTCTTCCTCATTCCTAGAGTAGGCTTTAATAATAGATAATACCGCCAGACCTTTGAAGATAATGCGTAACCCTGTTGTGACCCAGTCCCCTTTACAAGGAAACAGGTCCCTGGTACTTTGCCAGGCATTGTTCTGATGCTGCACCCATTGCTTTATTCCGGAGTCATTTAAATCTTCCGTGTTCAATTTGAAGTAACCCCTTTCTTTGTCAGCACATGGGCCGGGAGCAAAACGGGCTAAAAGTGGATAGTGATCCAACATGGGGTCTGCCACCGTCTCGATAGATAACAATGAGTCCCAGGCGGAGGCTCTGACAAATACCATATCTAACCTCCGTTGTCTCCCATTAGGGACTGACGTGGTCTGGCCCCGGCTAGCCGGATGCCATGTGAACCCATATTCATCAGGATGTGTAACCCGAAATGCATCCACCAAGCCTAGTCTCTCTATGAGTGACAACAAAATTTTCGCATCTGTGCGGATACACCTGACCTGTAGTGTGTCGAGACCGGGGTTCCGTACCGTGTTCCAATCCCCGGCCAATACCAAATTGTCTACATCTGGAATGCAGTCTGCTAGGTCTGAGAGAAAACGTATACGTTCTTTCCGGTCCGAAGGAGCATAAATACTCATCACTGCCCAGGACTCATCAGCAATCACCCCTTTTACCCATACCCATCGCCCCCAATCATCAACACACTCGTCAACCCACTCGAAGTCCAAGTTTCTGTGAATTAAAATTGTGGTCCCTCCCCTCGTTCCTTGTGCTGGGGCCCACAGCTGAGGCCCATCCCACCACCTGTTCAGTTCTTTGTGAGGACCCGACCTCAACCTTCTTTTTTCAATGAGCAACAAAGTACTTTCCTTCTCGAAAAAAAAAAAAAAAAAAAAAAAAAAAAAAGGATTTAGGATATTATACACGGTAGGATTCTACTCCAGGCTTTAAGGATGTGCGACCAAGTGGGGGATTTGACGGAGGATACAAAAGGGCGTAGGAGCATTGCTTGCCAAACAGCTGCGGGGCAGTAGGCCCCAGTCTTTGCACAGGATAGCCTGCGCTAAAAACATCCATGGTTGTTGGGAGAGTCCCACGGGCCATTTCGCTGATAAAGCTTCATTCTGGAGTTTGGGATCTAAAATTCCCAACCCTTCCCTGGGGTTTCTTCTCAATGATTTTCCACCAGGCAACTTTACTGATACAGGTGGGGACATTGGAGTCCCCTTTCCAGAGGTAGCGGGTTAGCAGTTGTCTGATCATCCTAGCTCGTCTTTTTTTTTTTTTTTTTTTTTTTAATTTACTTTTGCGTGTCATCCTTGTGCAGGGGCCATGCTAATCTTCTCTGTATCGTTCCAATTTTAACGGAAGTCCCGAAGGACGCTCGTCATTTTTTGGAGTGTCTAACGAGACCCTCAGAAATAAAAGATACAGAAAAAATGTTGCGAGTGGCACCAAAACGGGTGTGAGTGTGAGAGCGAGTGGGTTGTGTGTGCTGTGTGGGAGAGTGTTGGCCATAGCCTCTGCTGCTACTCGATGAAGGGTGGGGGACGATGAGAAAGGGAGGCACAGCTCCTGGGGCAGGTCTCGGTCTTTGTGTTAGCCAGACCCCCAATGGCGGCCCCAACCCTATACCCTAACCATTAGGGGCAAGGGGCAACATGAAATCTCCCCTTCACAGAGAGAGGAAACTATGCTTGCAGGGGTCCCCTCTAGATAGTCTTAGGAGTAGGTAGCGGAAGGTAAAAGAAACAGAAGTTGAGAGAAGAATATAGAAAGAAGAAAAAAAAAAAAAAAAAAAAAGATATCTGGAGAGGCGCTCAACCCTCAAGTCCCATGACACGTGGCAATGGAACAGCCGGCGTCTATTGGACCCTCCAATCCGACACATCAACAGCACAGCCCGTCTGATCTGAAGAACCGTCCATTACAGGGTTGCTTGTTTTCCGGAGTAAGGGCCTCGCCACACCACTGTCGAAAAGAAAACAGAAGGAATGCATATGCCGCAGAAAGTGGTAAGACGCATCCATTCCTATTCATAGTAACGGATGCATCTTGACCTCCTCCACGGGAAGATTCATTGGTTCGTTTTTCATTTCGAGGGTGGTGTGGCGAGGCCTTAACTCGTCACCGTGTGCCCTGGCCTTGGAAATGTGTGCCTCAGCCAACCCCCGCAGGGATCTCCGCGTGCCTTCGTCGCACAGCGCGCCGATTGCATGCAGCAGGCTCACTCCTGCGATGGACCTGGGTATGGGTACTGGAACAACCGGCGAATTCCGCCGGTTTAGCGGGGTTCCCTTCCTGCTATGGTGGTCCCCCACACGCAGCACTCTTGAACGCGTTTCACGAGCTCTGCCAGTTTCACAGGGTTCGTTCTCGCGAGTGCTTTGTTGTTTGTGGGAAGCCTTTACTCCCGAATTTTTCGTACCGGTTCGTTTCTCCCTAAATGTTTTGTCGTTTCCTTTCGTCGCCTTTGGGGATCGGTGTGGCGAGGCCCTTTGGCTTCCTACGTGTTGTTGCCAGCGCCCGACACGTGGATACTCCATCGGATGACAGTGCTGGTAACGCTGTTGTGTATCGGACGTGTGCGTCAAGTAGCGACGTGGCCTGAAGAGAAGGCGAAACGCGGGGAGAAGGCCTCTCTCACATTCAGGAGCTCAAGAATTGGAGAGAGAGAGAGAGAGAGAGAGAGAGAGAGAGAGAGAGAG